TGAACACCCACGAGAAGCTCACCCTGCTGACCGAGCTGAGGGAACTCGTGGACAGCAAAGACAGGGCTGCCTTCGACGATTTGGTTTACAGGCCTCGGGTAGCCATGGCAAGGGTACGCTTCGAGTAACCCCCTGTCCTCCAAGACACGGTCGAGGGTTAAAACCGAGGACTCGGGTGTCGGTTGTTAATCTCGAAATTATCTCTTCTTCTCTCGTTTCCAGAGAAAAGGTGACCGCGCTCATTCGGACTTGATAGTGACGCCGTCTCTGCACGATCTTCCGGTAAGTGAACGGAAACTACCGTCTCACCGTACAGTAACACGAATGGCGGGCAACACACGGATACACAACGACTCACCTGATATCTCACACGATTACACACTTTCTCTCTCTCTCTTTCTCTCTCTTTCTCTATTTATCTTTTCTCTATCTCTGTTTCGGGACATGTATAGAAACTATCTGTCTCTGTCTTTCTCACTCTCTGTTCTGCGTTGTCCACTGTAACTGTTAGACGTAACTGGTGACTGTTTTCTCCTCTCGTCTCTTTTTACCTGTCTCTGTCGCCGAGTCTCGCAAGCGACCTACCCCTAGGAGATTCTCCTCCCCGAATGCCGCACGCGTGCATTCGGAGAGGAGCTCGAGTCGAGTAACGCGATGATATCTTCACCCTCCTCCCCTTCGTTCGCTCTGTCTGATCAAAATTGCGCGGGAATCCTCCGAAAATAGAGATATTTACGGAAAGAAATGAAGGAAATATCGTGGAATAGTCCAGGTAGCTTCACCCAGGTGGAGCCAGCTGCAAGAGCAGATCCGAGCGAAGGGAAGGAACGAAAGGCGAAAGGGAAGAAAGAAACAAAGGGGCGAATGAAACGGGGTGGTGATGGAGGAAGAGGGATAGGAAAGCTCATTGTCGATTGGAGAGGTGCGAGAAGACAACGGAGGAAGATCGTCTCGGAGACAAGAAGACTCCCGGAGGACAAGACGGAAGAGGAAGATCCTATCCAAAGGGGATGATCGAGTTACCCGACAAGCCTCACGTCCACCTCGACGCAACGTCGCGATCCGAGAGAACGTTTTGTTTTTGCTTAATTGCTCTCGGCCATCGCGTTGACCTGCGAAGCATGACTCGAGAATCTTCCTGCAACCCCTTTCTCGCTTCTTCTTCATCCAAGTCAAACTACTTTCTTTTCCGCTTTCTCGTAGACGCGTCTCTTCTCTCGCTTCATCTTCTTCCACTTCTTCTATTTCCACTCGAATACCGTATCACTCTCTGTCTACTTCTCTCTTTGTCTCTGCCTGTGTTTTGTTTATGATTTCGCTTAGTGTTAGTGCGCTTCCCTGGCAGGCAGTGTCGCCTCGTTTCCGGTCTGCGCTCGTCAACGTTCCGCGTCTCTTTGGACCTCGCAGTCGAGATTGTTTGCGTAGCGCTTGAGCCGTGCCGTTGCGCGAATATTCGAAGCCCGTGGATTGAATGTCGCGCAATTAAGCCGCGCCCTGTGTACACGCCTCGTACCAGGCCTGGTGTACGGTTTCACCGTTCGAAATAACGATGGAAAGCTCGGGTGAAAAGACGCCAGTCGATCGCACCGTGGCTTCGAGTACTCGAGCATCCGAGTCTTGGATGCGTTAGGTCTTAGACGCGCTTGCGGAATCGTCGTTGCAGAGTGGAATGCAGCTGGTAGATGCGAATGGTTTTGCCTGTCTACTATTTTTCTTTTCACGCTAATCACATCGGGGGAGACAGTACAAATTTCCGACCCTCTCGAACGAGTTCGCCTGAGCTTTGCTGGATTTCTGTTTCCTCCTGTCTTGCTTCCGTCGAGTGCGTGATCCGAGTGTAATCTCGAGTGGGGAAAAGGAACGTTACGTTTACCAACGAATTAATTCCCTCGCTCCGTATGCACCTTCGTTACTCGCTTTTCACGAAGCGTGGACAGGGCATTTCGATATGGACGACAGGGGGTTGGTCAGAGAATTATTCCACCGAAGTGCAGGAGCGAGTGGAAAGCGAGTGGAATAAAATTTCTCGTTCGAGGAATTTCAAATTACCGAGCGTCAATTTCCTCGATGGAAACTTCGAATGAAAAGATCCGTATCCGTTCCTCTCGATTCGCCTTTGACACGGACACTTTCTCTTGACACGATTGTACGTCTCTGAAACACCCTGGATAACGGAATATTCGTTTCCTTTCTTATTAAAAGATTCGAAACGTGCAATAGCTGCGAATGCAATATTCATAAAGAGGAGAAAGGAACATTGTCCCAGTTCGACGAGTAACATTTTATAAATTCGTTCGAAACTCCAATCCCCGACTGAGTATCCACTCTCGACTTCTGCCGAGCCGGATGAATCGCGACTGATCACGCACTCGATCGCAAGATGCTAAGTATAGTTGGCTGGAGATCGGCCTAATCGCATCTCGTGCGTCACGATTCAGGGGCTGGGAGGTTTCCCGAAAGCTTTACCGAGCTCTCGTCGCACGGTGTTTTCCCGTTTCGCAACCGTTGGAAAAAGCGTGGAAAAAAGAAAGCGTATAGATCCGGGAAGATCGTGCCAGCCTTGTCCAAAGCTCGGGCTAGCTCGCTGATGGCCGGTTTCGTAGCCAACGAGTTGAAAACGAGCGACACCGTTAATCTCCTTCGCAGAACCGTTCGTGAACGAAACGATTTCTGTTCCGACGAAAGCCTAGTCCCTGGCTTCCGTTCGCTTTGTTCCTTCGCTTTCGTGTCCTTAGCGTTTCGGCTTTCCACGACGCCATTTTCTCCCTTCTCCCGTTTCTTTTTTTTTCTTCTTTTTGAACACATCGATCTCCCAACTTCTCTCTTTGCGATCCGCTTGTCCAAGCCGCCGCCTGTCGTCGAGATCGTCGAAATTTTCGTTTAGCCTCGGTTCGCCTTCGAGTCCCGAGACGATTACGGAAACTTTAATCGCTCTAATTGGAAGCCCTTTAATCGACAGTGACGAAAAACAGCGAAGAAAGTCTAATTGGTCCCGGCATCGAAGCTTCGTTAATTAACGGGGAACTGGTTCCAACCGTGGCAGTGGAACCCGCGCGGGTGTAGAGATCGGTTCAGAACATGACGATAGGGACGCGAATCGAGTTCCCTGGAGGAAGAAAATTTGTCAGTGGACACTGGGGTATTGCGACGTTTCGGAATCGGCAATTGGCGGGTCGTGTTAATCGGCGGAGAATTATTCATCGCGGTTTAATTGACTCGAAGGCCGGGGATCGCTTTCATCGCGACCGATCGACGGATCGATGGGACGATGCTTGATTAATGACGAACGGCTGGCACACGCGGCTTCACGGTTCACGGGCCTGCGAATGGCCCGGCTTCGTGATCTTCGAACGGAAGAGAGCCACCGGAAGTCATCGTAAATCAAGTGTCATCTGTGCAGTGACAAACGTCAGCCACGCACGCGGCACCGATCGATGATAGATCGTCGCTAAATTGGCAAGACCGATGCTTCTGTGGCTAATTAATCGGTGACTTTGACGGTCAGGGGTGGGGATTGGCACGAATGGGAAGATCGATTCGATGATTTACGCGGCGAATGGAATCCTCCAACGACTTCCCGTTCGACCAAGCTATCGCTTTCTGACACCTTCAGTTGCTTATCTCGAAAGTTTTTCATCTTCGGTTCGACTACGCTTCGTTCTTTATTTTCTCTCGATTATACAGGGTGTCCCGCGACAGAATCTACCCTTGAAAAATCAGTCGAAAACGCGGAGTGAAATTTTTTCGTATTCTCGAGAAAATTGACAGAATTTTGGTACGCCTTTCCGAATTATTCCGAATTATTCCGAATTATTATTTATATATTTCCGAGTACTAAAGTCAGATATGTTCGTCTTGAACCCCCTTTTAGAGGACACCGTGTGTAATCCGAAGCAATCAGAGTTCTAATTTCTTATGATTTGCTGAATCTCCAAATACGAATGACGAAGGTGAAGCTTGAAGTTGTGTCAAAAATTCGATGCAACGATAGAGAAATCGTTGAAAAAAAGAAAAAAAGGTTTGGGAAATGGACAGAAGGGATCTGAGGGAGAAAAAGGAGAAAAAAGTGCTCGTTGGCCATCGAAACCGGGCTGAAAGTGGCGACGGAATGGCGAACGGCGTGACTGGATCTGGTGATTTCTCGCAGAGGGGTGTACCCGGTGGTTGTTGCCGTCCGGGACGACTGGTGGACGTCGAGGGAGATCCTCTAGGAGTGACAGGACCTCTCCTGCCGCGGGATAACCAGGAATATAGATCGCCCAGCGAGGACAGCGGCCTGGGTGCCGACATGCCCAGGACCAGGTCGAGATGATTCCAATAAAACGAGAATCTTTTGCCATTTCTCAGCAATATCCTTCGAGCTCTCTCCATTTTCTCGAACATCGCTCGATCTCCATCGAATTCTTCCTTCCTCTCGATTTTTCCTTCCTCTTCTCTCTCCGGCGAAATTCGGGGAAGAGCAATTATGCCCAAGGAGGGAAGGGAATACTCGATCGAAATGCTCGAAATTGAAAGACAAATGGCGACTCGTAATATAATCGCGATGTTCAATCGAAGCGAGTCGAAGGAGATCCAAGTCGAGCTCTGTCGTTCGGGGTAAACGGCGAGTTTGCAGTTACACTCGAGGTAACTCGGTTACCTCGAGTGGCTTCGTCGAGAACGCCACGCTGATTGGTTCGAATCGTTGCATTGCGTGCACCTTGCGAAAGCTCGTACCGATTTCTCGAACGTGGGACTGCAGTTATCCGTTCACGACCAAGCAATTCCGACCAATTTTTCAAATTACCCGCGACATGTCCGTCGTTGAAAAAGCACCCCCTCTGAGTACATAAACGCGAGCATTCTCACCTGCGATTAACGTTCTGGGAAAAAAAGCACGCATAATTCCAGCAGAGGTAACAGGGAACAGGGAACAGGAAATAGTGCAGGAATAATTAATTCCATAGACTGTGCACCTATTACTAGCGGTAAACAACCCTTTATCCTAAAAGCAACCCTATCCACTCGTCCCTGTCTTCCATCCCAATGAAGCTAAACTTCAGTTCTCTCCAGTGCTTCCTTGCAACTATATTTATCGAGGAGGAACAGCCAACCCTTCGACTTCCATTAGCAACTAGAGCCTTAATCGTTAATTGATCGTCCTGGCGCGGAATCGGAGTTGGAAATGAAAAAAGGCCGGAGAAGAACGAGAAAGATTCAGGGGCACGCGATTCCCGGTGAGCAGGGATAGCAGTAATGGCGTTTCTATGTCGGATATACGAGGTACATCGATATTTCATTTCCTACCAGGCCCGATCTGGCTTTACTGTCTATCCCGCATTCAGCCAGCCACCCCCTTCGACGCCACCTGACTGGTAGCAGGTATGTACACGGATAAGCAGACACGAGAGGCGGAGTAGGGGGAGGTAAATAGCGGCCACGTGCCTGTGTGTCGTCCGTGTGTCGCCGCGTGGGCGGTGGTCGGGCCTGTGTGCACGTGTACAGGGTGTATCGGTGGTCAGCTCTGTTGTGGATCGTTGGATTAATTCGCCGGACCCTAGGCGGGATTTTTATGCACGGTCAAAGGAGCGTGTCGTAAGTGGAGATTGATGGGACGGGGTTAGGTTGCTTCATCCTGAAAGAGAAAAAAGGGAAACAGGAAAACAAAGGGGGAAGCGAGGGGTGGACTTTCTTAAGGTCAAAGGGCGAGTGTCATTTTCGGTGGAAATATTTGAGAAAGTGGAACGTCGACTTTTTCCAAAGAGGATTCGAATGTTTCGACAATGGGGTGGAAGAGTTTTTTAAAAATGGCAGCTGTTCGGTGTCTGTCGAAAATTTAGGTTGAGAAGTTTTACGGTAAGCTCTCGAAGCTTCGTTAAAATTTTTTGGGGAGCTTGGATAATTAATTTTCTCGCGACATTCGCAATGTAGGTCAATTTTTTAATACGTGATTCGCGTTATCATTTATATAAGGCACGTATTAAAATCGAAATACCGACCTTAAAAAATTCAAAACGAAATAAGGAATGGACGGTGCCCTTTGAAACGTTCCCAATGACAAATATCCAAACGCGAATAAATAAAAATAGAACTTTCCGAATTGGAAATATTTCCATTGAAAAAAAGAAAAATAAATAATCGCAAACAACTTTCCAGCTGCGACCGGTGCAAAATCGTCGAGGCTGAAAGAAAGTATCGGTTGGAAATTTAGAAGAAAGAGAAGGGTACGACGCGAAGGTCGAAAGAGTTATTCCATCGCAAACGGGTTCCATCTTCCGTAAAATTTCTCTGGCCCCGTGCCAGTTTCTCTCGTTGGTGTTCGAAGGAATGGTCAGGTCGATTAATTCGGCGCACACCCTGTACGTGGATCCGTGCACGGGGGCTGATGGATAGACTAGGGACGTTCCGTGTGTACATATACGTGTCTTTCTACGGAATTGGGCGTAAGTAAATTCCGTCGAATCGATATCTCTGGCCGGCACGGGGAAACGTATAAAGCGTTCGCGGCCGGGCGAACGGGGAAAACAGAGAAAAATGGGATTTGCATATTTCGCAGGGCCAATATCGGTTTTCGTTTCGTATCCGATTATTTCACGCGGGATCTGCCGATGAATGTTCCCGCTTCCGCGGAACGTTTAAACCGGATTCCAATCTTATTGTTTGCATCCGTCCACCCTTTCTTCCACCGGATCCACCTTTCGTTTACGTTTCATTTCCAAACTCTGTTTACATCGCCAAGAATTATTTCCGTCTTACTCGCTTTGCTCGTATCGCTGCAGCCGGTGTTGATCTTCGCCGCGGAACCCTGTTCCTGCAGATATAAATGAACGAATAGGAATTCCACGAATTTAATTTCCAATGCGATATAGCTTACGAGGCAAGTTAGCTGGTTGAGCAATTATAATATCGCACGGTGGTTCCAATTTTTCCATCTCAAACTTGTAATACAATATTTTTAACTCACGACATATTCCAACGCCATTTTTATATTTATTATTAACCCCTTGCACTCGAGAGGTGAGCTTCAGTCACCATTTCATCAAATTTGGAAGATCAATGTTAATTAATATATCAAATTTAATGTCGATAATGTCGATTTAATTCAATTCTATTATTATACAATTCTTTATTTATTACTCGAAAAAGTATCATCAGTTTTTTAGTAGAGAATCTTTGAATTTCTGCTGAATCTCTTCTCTAGCCAAAAAATCGTCGAGTGCAAAGGATTAAATTTTCCTAGCTCTTGAAACTTATTTCTAATGTCAATAATGTCGATTTAATTAAATTCTATTATTATACAATTCTTTATTAAAAGTATCGTCAATTTTTTAGTAGAGAATCTTTGAATTTCTGCTGAATCTTCTAGCCAAAAAATCGTCGAGTGCAAAGGATTAAATTTTCCTAGCTCTTGAAACTTATTTCGATTAATAGGGGAATTATTGCAATATTGTAACTTGCAATAATTATTTTTTTCGAATCGGTTATCCATGTATGTATAATTTCTAAGGAGTAAATTAGATTAAATTTAAAGGTTGATTTTTTAATACTTGTTTATTGGATCCGTTGATATTGATACGGATAGTCGAGGCAAAGCGGGGGTGCAAAGTGGAGGATCCAGGAGAGGGTGCGATCCGAATTGCGGCACAACGTGACACGTTATTGGAGCGATTCTGGAAACCCCTCTACCGCAGTCCGATAACGGAGCTCATGCGGCAATAGCGTACATATAGGAAAGGCACGAATGGCCCTTGAAAATTTCGTTCTATGGTCGGCCAAAGTTCTAACACTAGGTCGTATCCCGGGTAACAGAATGAAACAAATGAGCTCGGAGAGAGTTAGCAGTGCCGTAATAGCTACGCGAACGGAACGTTCGCGGGAAAAAAGTGTCAGTGTGCACGTCAGGGCCAGAGCTCCATCTTCATTTTCGCTCCGCGCGCTTCGTCAACGTCCGGAGCAAACCGGTGCCAGAGATTTAGCCAAGTAACTAGCCCCGTGTCCACGACTCGAAACACCCTTCCACGTTCGTTCTCATCGGCTCCTGGACGGTGAATTCAGAAGTGTACCGTGCCCCGATTTCCCTCTATAGAGGGGTGTCTCTTGACCGAGGGGCGACTCGTCATCGGGGTTGACAGCGAGATTGGAAAGCGAAAGTCGAAGGCACGAGTGGTGGAAAAGCACGGAGAGCCGGTGGTTGGACGTTTTGACAGCGTGATGGTTGGCTGTCAACGCGACGTCGATCGATCGATGGCACCAGGCTCTTGAAAGTTGGACGAAGGACGAGCTGACGAACGGAAATAGATTTGGCATGCGACGTCCACGGGGCTGCACGGGGATTCGATGATCGACCAGCACGGTGGTGATTAAATAATCGATGTGAAACACGTAAATAACCGCATCGCTGTCGCCGCTTGTCGCTCATATGTGCTCCATTCTTCTGTCTAACTTCACCGGGTGAGAATAGCCAGTTCTATTTTCGTTCCGATCGAAACGGTCTCGCGGCACGATATCGAGGAGCCTCGAGTCCTCCAGGACGATTATAAATCGCGGAATTATCGGCCAGTAGATTCCGACTCGTAGGCTTAGTAGAACGGCAGCTTTCCCGGGGGATAAATGCGACACGGAGTGACCGGTATTCGGGTCACGAGTCCCTCGAGTTCTCTCGCGTTCGAGAAATCGGTTTCGCCTCTCCGTTCTGGCAAACGGTGATCGATGAATCGCCGTAACGTTTGATCGACGCGTGACCAGCGGATGAGCCACGCGGGGTACGCGGGAGAAGAAAAAGGAGAAACGGGAAAGGAAGGTGATGGAATTGTTCGGAACGAGGTGAAACCTAGCATGGATCTACTTCGAGACAGTGGATAATTGTGAGAAACGGTAGCACGATCCGTAGATCTAGACGAAAGGGAAGATTGGGTGAGAGACGTTAGCGAGTCTCGGAGGGTGGGTGGTCTCAAATCGCAATTTTGGCCATTCCAGAGCGGGCTGCAGGAGGACGCAGCAGCACCAAGTGACGACCTCCGATCTCGCCCTCTCCAACGACGACGAGTGCGACAACCAGGTACAGAAATTCTTCGAGAAACCAAACCGCCGGTGCTCGAAGCTCGACCTTCTTAGACGATTGTCCATTCCAGAGAACGTTCCCGGAACAGTTCCCGAACGAGATAAAAGGGACTTTGCCCGTTTCTTTTCCAGGACTACGAGGACGAGCTGGAGAACGGTCGCGGGCGCAGACACAGCTCGCCTGGTGGCTCTCGCGGCAATCCCAGAGACTACGGCCACCATCATCTTCATCCCGACAATTTGGTGAGTCGATAATTTACCTTTACCTCTGGGGACATCTCTGTCACGGTATTTCCTTCTTTCTTCGCGAACCTCTCGGCCCGAATTCCACTTGTCGAGGGTGTTGCTTCCCGCTGGAAAATACCAGTTGTCCATAGAGTGGAGGAATCTCCTATAGGGTATTTACGATCGTTATCGCGTGCAACCGTGCCAAAGCAACTTACCTTTGACGTCTCCCGCGGCAAATGTCGAATGTCCGTCTGCGCTGTACAAAATGGCGGCGAGCCTCGCTGCACGCGACGCGCGAACACCATCTGCCAACTTTCTTGATCGCGTAATTCGAAAACCGTGAGTCGAAGCCAGCGATTCAGTTGGTTTTAACAAGGAACAAGGGGAAGAGATACAGGGGAGCAGTGAACATCTTAGAATCGCGTAACGTCAGTTACAGAGAGGATTCCGCGTGGACGTAACGACAAAATGGCGGAAAGGTCCGAGTAATCGCGGGGTAACCGCGAAACTCTGTCAAGATATCGTATCTGCTAAATTTCGCGACTCGTAATGGGAATGGTAAACTCCGTGGAAACGTTCCCGGTTACGTGAGTTTTCCTCTGTCCTCTGTTACGTCGGGAGATAACGGGCAAGGCTATTAGGAATATTCATCGCGAATCCCGGGCTGAAGTTTCAACGGCCTCGCCACGATCTTTTGTGTTTTAAGACGCGGCAGCGTTTTTCTTCGAATTAATACGTCCCTGGGTTCGGTATTCCGCTGGTGTATCAGACGCATTAACAATGCTGCTGGTACACGGTAACTGTACCTATAGAATTCGCCCCAGTAGCGAGAGTAGAGGAGACTTGCCCGGTTATGAGCCGCATTACGGCGGAATTGTCTTGCGCTAATGGCCGGCAGTATTTTGCGTGTGATAATGTCAAGAAAAGGAGGGTACAGGATGCACATGCGATGCGCACGAGAGCAGAACAAATGGATAATTGAGACAGCGGAGAAATTTCTCTGCGAATATTCGAAGCTAATGATCGGCGGCTTTAATAAAAACAACAGTGAAATCCGAAAGATATGTAACGAGATAATACCTTGCGCAGTTTTAGGGTAATTCTGGTCTGATTCGATGTACACGACGTTCTGAAAGTGATCGCACGATTCGGGGAAGCGTGCAATTTTATAATATTATTACACTATATACAGTATTATATACTGAAACTCGATTTGGATTTATTAAATCGTAATGTCCTCGTAAGCAAATTACAAAGTAGACCGGAGGTATGAGAATAATTAAACTCTCGTAGCAGCTTCTTTGATTTCCCTTTCTCTTTAATTAAGAAAATTCGTCGAAGTAGGTGTTCACTTTCTAGACACCCGGTATTTCACCTAGATAATTTCACATTCACTGGATCTATAACCACGTCAAAGTAGTCTATTTCTTACACACACTCTGGTACTTACTTTCGAACATCGAATTAATCATGTAACGCGCGCGCGACTAATCTCGATCAATTTTATTTCTTCCAACTATATTTGCCACGATTCTCCATCATCCTGCACAATGCTCGTAAGTACACCGATATAATTCAGACATCTTCGATGGACGTCGCGAATCCCTTAGTCAGCCTAAAATTTCACTACCGACCGAACGGTCACGATTGACAGGAGTCAATGAACCGTGGCATTTAAATGAACAAGAAACCGTTAACTCGATTGTCGTCCCGCAAGAATCGACCAATTAAGGAACTGCTACGAGTAACGAGCCACCCTAATTAGTCACCAGGTCGCGACTGCCTCGAAACGCAAACCGCGTAGCTCGATTAGAAACGTTCAGCACCGGTCTGCTGCCATACCTTCTTGACAGCCTTTAGCTTCTCGGAACCATCCGTTCCATTTCTATTCGCCGTGAAACACTCGATATGGAATATATTAATCAGCGATCGATCGCGAAACCTAAAACTACGGTCGTCTCGTGCAGCGACACGATCACGATTCGCTTCAGGAATCCGTGGCCGGTCACAGGACCCTCTTTCCACGACGTCGAGGCTTTTTGCTCCGCTGTCAATTTGACATTCCGCGGGACGAAACGATAAATCCGTGGAATGGAAGAGTCGCGTCGCGTATCGACCGGTCTAGCAGGCTCGTAAACGACCTCGGCTAGTAGGCGAATTAAATCGAACGCGTTATTTGCTTTCGGCCGTGCCTCGGGATCGACACCTCGAGAATCCATCTCGCAACGCTTTTAACGGCGCGCTGAAGTCACGCGTTATTTTTACCCTCTCGCAAGGATGATGATCCCCCTCTGGCCTGGACGGCTCATCCTTCTCACCGTGTCTCCCTTAACCCCCGCGTAATCCCGAGACACTGTGCTCCATCGTGATACACGATTATACACCTACCGACCGATCAGTCGTTGCCTCGCGATCGTTGCAACAGCACGGTACCCTGCTCGTGCACCTACCGACCCATCGCACGCCACTTTACTCTTGTAATCGTGCCATCGTGGCTACCCTCGTCGTACGCGCACCGACCGATTACTCGTTACCGTACTTTTTATAATCGTCCCATCACAATAGCCTGATTATACTCGTAGCGAGGCGGATCATACCGGGGAGGAGAGTATGGAAGAGTCGGGGAGAAAAATCAAGCCCGTTAACATCGTCGCTTGGCCCCGATCTTATCGCGCAGCTCGCGTGATCGCTACGAAATCGTACGTTCGCCAGAGCTCGCAGGCCTGGCTCCCATGCCCGGACGGTGTGATCCTGCGCGATCGAGGGGATCTTCTCACGGGTCCATCTGGAAACAAGCTCGATTTATGGACGCTGATCACGCCAGGTCGATCGATGTTCATCGCGGCCCGTATATCCGCTCGACGAGATCCAACGGACCAGCCAGAAGGAGGTGTTCCAGCTCTGAATTAATTATCCAGCCTCGATCGATCATGGCGTACAGATAGCAAGGCCCGGCCGATGCAGCCGCGAAATGTCTCTATTTCGCGGCGGTTAACGTTGATGGACTTTTGCCCGTCCTTGGCACACGGGAGATCGTCGACCGAGCGTGGACCGGCCGCTTGATATCCTTGAAGAGGAGACCCGAGATCGAGAAAAGAGACGCGCTTTTTATTTCTCGCCGCGACTCCATCGCGAACGCGTCCTTTCAATCCGTTCCGATCGTCGAAAATTTCGCGAAAAATTTCCCACATTTCTGACATTTTCCGGGTATCCCTCGACCTCGCGTTCCGTCGTATCTCGGAACTCGAAATTCTTCGGAATATTCGTAATTAATTGGTATTCTTTGACCCTGGGTACACTGGGTGCACCGGGAGACGTTGGTCCGCTGGAAAATGGCGATTTTCGGATGTAGGAATGGCGGAAGTGAAATAATCACACATTTTCAACAGGAAGATGTCTTTATCTTTCAGTCTCGTTGTAACGTTAAAAGAATAAACAAATAGGTATAAATTACAGACGATTTGGAAAGGAGGGAAGCACGATCGTGTCGATATGGTAGTAGCAACGCAAAGCGACTATCGGCGAGCCGTGTATTACTCGGTAGTGGCATACATGGAACTGTACATCGTCGGATAATATTCCGTTTTTACGGAGAATAAATTTCATTCCTAATACTGACACGTACACACACACAAACATAGGCGTGCGCGCGCGCGGACACACGCACGGCGCGAAGAATAATCGTACACACGATGGAACGCTGGTTACTCGACGATCATTACCACCTAACGATCCTTCGTGCATTCATAAACGACGCGAAATAAAACACGAGGATGAAGATCCAGGCCTCGCGCCTGGAAATGATTATAATTACAACGGAAGACCATCCTCGAACGCGTGAACACCGGCATTAAGTCGGTTGCTTGAAAAATCCGAGTAACCAGCGTTCTACCACACTGCACCCACATTCACGCAAACAGCCTCAAGCCTTCACGAGGGTACCGATCGCTCCGCTTCCCCTATTCGCGACATTCCTCGAGCACAGTTCATCATCGTCACACGCCAAGACCCGGAAGCTCGTCCGGGAACACTCGTCCTCGAGCGTCGAGCTCTATTGTCCTTTTCGTACGTAAGAGAAGCCGCCAAGCCTCGTCGCTTAGTCGGGAACGAAGGGTGTCACGGATAAGCGAAACGATTCGTCCGCAGGTATGCCGGAAGTGGCGCACTCGACGACGAGGCTGCGATCCCAGAACGACGACACTCGAACTCGGTGTGTTTGCTCGATCAGTTTACGATGGCCCCTTATCGATGATCGGCCAGTCAGAGCTTGTCCTGGAGCGCCTGTCGGAGCTCTTCCGTGGCCTTCGCCACGTCCTGGCTCTGCCGCAACAGCACTTCCGGTCGCACGTGCTGCACCGTGGAGTTGGACCGCCTCACCGAGTTCCCGCTGCCGAATTTCGGCCGTGGAATTCTCACGCGCTGCACGTCGCTCAGCCAAGATTCCATGGTTGCCTCTAGTTAGCCTCTTGGCCTCTGCCTCTGAAAGAAATCGAAAGGATAATTCGTTATCGGTTCCCGATGACAGCGAGAGCCATCCAGCGTGAAAGCTCGCGTCTTTCTCTTCCTTTGCCTTTCTTTTCCCCATTTTCTTTCCCATCCAAAATGCGCCGGTAAGCATTCGGAGAAACTTGAAAATGGCCGGGCAGTGTCGCGTCTCTGGTTCCGATACGTAATTATATTTTAGCCAGGAGAAAGTCACGGAACGTTTAACATCCGTGTCGCGCGATTCTTATCTCGGGATGTTTGCTCGTGTGTTAATATTCTGCTCCAAAAAGTGTATTAACCGCGTGGAATTTCTTTAGTGAAAGTACCGTTTTATTTCATCGATCTTTCTAAGTCAGTTTCATCGGGCTGAGCCTCCTAACTCGACGTATGTATTTCGTCGTCGTTCCGCGTTTCGGTTCTATGGACCACGTCGACAACGTCGAGCCGAGTTGACAACGGATGGGTTCTATTTTCGTAAGGGGGCCGACGAAAATCGAGGATTAATTCTCACGCAGTCCGGTGAAAATGAC